GAAAGAGTGACTACATTCACTTTTACTGAAGAAATATTTTACATAAGGTATCATAAGGTATGACATGATGTCACACTAGTCACAAGTTTGGGAGTGAACTGGGACTGATGTGACTGTGTATGGGTCACATTTGAAAAAAAAAGTGTATTTGTCAGACTTTGCAACACAAACTTTCATACAAAATATACCAAAAATGGTAAAGCCTAAAAACCACACAGTTTAGATATCATGATAAAGGCCATGACTAGCATCATTTCATATAGATAACTTACCCTAAAATAACTGTAAGCAGCGTTGGTTCCTGCGAATCCTCTGACGAACTCTAGCTTTCTCAAAGGAACCATCAAGTCTGTGTGGGTGTATTTCCTTCAAGACTAGTGCTAGCAACCCATCCATCTATCCATCATCAACCTCTTATCCGAGGCCGGGTCGCGGGGGCAACAGTCTGAGCAGGGACGCCCAGACTTCCCTCTCCCTCGACACTTCCTCCAGCTCTTCTGGGGGGACCTCAAGGCGTTCCCAGGCCAGCCGAGTGACGCAGTCACTCGAGCGTGTCCTAGGTCTTCCCCTAGGTCTCCTCCCAGAGGGACAGGAACCGAGCACCTCCCGAGGCGTCCGGGGGGCATGCGATGTAAATGCCCAAGCCACCTCAGCTGACTCCTCTCGATGTGGAGAAGCAGCGGCTCTACTTCGAGCTCCTCTCGTGTGACAGAGCTCCTCACCCTATCTCTAAGGGAGCGCTCTGCCACCCTGCGGAGAAAGCTCATTTCAGCCGTTTGTATCCGGGATTTCTTCTTTAGGTCGTGAACCAGAGCTCATGACCAAAGGTGAGGGTATGAATGTAGATCGACTGGTAAATCGAGAGTTTTGCCTTTCGGCTCTCTTCACCACAACGGACCGTTACAGTGACCGCATTACTGCAGCCGCTGGACCGATCCGCCTGTTAATCCCACGTTCCATCCTACCGTCACTCGTGAACAAAACCCCAAGATACTTAAACTCCTCCACCTGAGGCAGGACATCCTCCCCAACCCAGAGGGTGCAAACCTCCCGACGACATCCTCAGTCGAGGTCAACAGCCCTACCCCGCTGTAATCATTCCTGAGGCGCCAGATGGTTTGCCAGAATTTTTTCGAGGCCGACCGGTAGTCCTCCTCCATGGCCTTCCCGAACTTTTCCCAGACCCAGAGTTATTGCTTCCACGACTACCCGAGCCGCAGTCCGCTTGACCTGCCTGTACCGGTTGGCTGCCTCAGGAGTCCCACAAACCAACCAGGCTCGATAGGACTCCTTCTTAAGCTTACGACTTCTCTTACCTCCGGTGTCCACCAGAACATAGTCCACTCAGACTCGATGTCTCCAGCCTCCCTCGTAACCTGTTCAAAGCTCTCCCGGAGGTGGGAGTTGAAGGCCCCCCTCACCGGGATTCCACCAGACGTTCCCAACCGACCCTCACGATACGCTTGTGTCTGCCAGGTCTATCCAGCTTTGCCCCCTGTAAGCAGAACCAACTCACCACCAGGTGGTGATCAGTTGACAGCTCAGCCCCTCTCTTCACCCTAGTGTCCAATACATACGGCCGGATGTCAGATGACACAACTACAAAGTCGATCATTGACCTCCGGCCTAGGGTGTCCTGGTGCCAAGTGCACTGATGGACACCTTTATGTTTGAACATGGTGTTTGTTATGGACAAACTGTGACTAGCACAGAAGTCCAATAACAAAACACCACTCGGATTTAGATCGGGGAGGCCGTTCTTCCCAATTACGCCCCTCCCGGTGTCACTGTCGCTGCCCATGTGGGCGTTGAAGTCCGCCAACAGGACGATGGAATCCCCAGGAGGAGCACTGTCCAGTATCCCTCCCAGTGTCTGCTAGAAGGCTGGGTATTCTACACTGCTATTTGGCCCGTAGGCCGAAACAACAGTGAGACACCTATCCCTGGCCCGAAGGCGCAGGGAAGCAACCCTCTTGCTCAGTGGGGAGAACTCCAACACACGACTGGCAAGCTGGGGAGCTATAAGCAAGCCTACACCAGCACGCAGCCTCGCACCGTGAGCAACTCCAGAGTAGAAGGAGTTGGGTCCCAGAGCCCAAACTGTGCGTGGAGGTGAGCCCGACTATATCTTGTCGGTATCACTGTCGGCTCAAACCTCCCGCACGAGCTCAGGCTATTTTCCCCCCAGCGAGGTGACATTCCATGTCCCCATAGCCAGACTGGTTGTCCAAGGATTGGGCCGTCGGGGTCTCCGCCCACAACCTCCACCCAAATTACAAGGCACCGGCCCCTTGTGGGGCTTCCTGCGGGTGGTGGGCCCACTGGAAAGCGGGCTCACGTCGCTTGTTCGGGCTGAGCCCGGCCGAGTCCCGTGATTTTTTTCATCAAGGGGGGAGTTTGAACCGCTATTTGTCTGATCCGTCGCCTAGGACCTGTTTGCCTTGGCAGACCCTACCAGGGGCGTTAAGCCCCCGACAACATAGCTCCTAGGTTCTTTCAGATACTCAAACCCCTCCACCACGTTAAGGTTGCGGTTCAAGGAGGAGTGCTAGCAACCCGTATATTATAAATGTCCGCAGGGTCGTTTGCCTCCTAACTGGAGAAGCAGCTATCTCATTCGACCACTCTCTTGTGTACACATTCGAATTACTTTCATTTACGTTTTTCCAAACACTTTTTCTATGAGATGCCAAATTTTTCAAATGAAGACGGTGCTCACACCACCTGGCTAGAACATCCATCCAATATCCGACCGATTACAGCGTAGATAGGGACTGCCACCAAAAAACATACATGTACATTCTATTTCTTGCTGTTTTTCATACGTGTAATTGAAAATTGTATTTTAATAATTATTACCTTTATTATTAACAACAAAAGCTTGTTTAATGACTATCACTTGAAATATACCTGTTTATTTTAATTTAACTCCACTGACTGAAAAAGTAGTCCGGTTCGATACGCGCAGCACTCTAACTACATTGGCCTCAAAAGACTTTATCTTAGAGAAGACTTAGAGAAGTTTCCATTTGAAACTAAATCTGCAATTTCGAGTTTATGTTTTTCAGTAGCTTTCATCATTAAATTAGAACTTGCTTACTAGAGGTAGATTGAAGCTTCATGGTAATTCTGTGATTGATATTTGCGCATAGTTTGGCAAACATGTCTCAGCCTGGAGGTGACAGTCGGTTCTGTCGGATTTGTATTTGTCGTATTTTTCCATTTAGTGATTAATTTAGTTATTTACACTTTAAATACAGCAAATGTCGTTCATATTTACATCTGAAATGCAGTTTGTGTGTAGTGTGTACTATTCTTATGGGTGGATTACACCTGTCGGATCAATATACATAAAGGTTTTTTTTCATGTATACCATATATATATATATATACACCACATTGAATAAAACAAGTACATTAATCAAAAAGTGAATTTTACTCAACAATGCGTCTCAAAGTACCTCCACCAGCCTGTGTTTATTAGTGATGCCACACAAGGCCGTGCAGATTCAGGATGTAGTATACAATATGGGGCACGAAAAAAGGGCAGAACTGTAACTAAGCTACATAAATATTTATTTGTTTGAAAAGCTACATCTGCGATGAAAACAGTTTCAAGTAAAAAAAAAGTCATACATCAATAATATTGCAAAAAAAGAATTAGCTTTATTGACTTCAGCATGATTTTATGAAGATTTTTAGCATCCATTAGTAGCCAGTATAAAATAAAGCATATCTCATGTTATTCAAATACAGTATATGTTAATATGAAAAAAAGTAATAAATATGACCCTGAATTGAATGACTGATCAAATACAGCCCTTAATTAACACAAATTAAACTTTAACATTTTACTGTCACAGAACCAATAAATATACATAAATAACATTTGCTTTAAAAATATAATTTAAATAATACAGTAAAGCAGCAGTAAATGTAGAAATTACTTTCTACATTTCCACATTTTTGTAACTTAATGGGAACCTAAATAAAAGGTACAGTATTAGAAAATCCATCTTTCACAGCAGTCTTAATACATTGTATAAAAGTTAGAAAAACATTTACATATTAACCCCCCACCCCCATCAATCAGTACCAGTCTTCCTACTGTGGCATAAATGAATAAAATATAAATTTATTAAAAATACATTTGCCTTGCTGTGTCCCCATCACAATAGCCAGTTTTTCACAGTTATGATAATCCAGTCTTAGACTTCAGTTTCTTTATTCCTTTGCTTATCCGTTTTTGATGTCCCTTACACAAGCGCTTTGTTTCTTTGAGAACACCTAGCACTTGTGTTAGCCACTCGTTCAGTCTGGAAATCACACTCCATCCATATTCCTTTATAGCAAAAATATGGTCGCCACATGGGTCCTGTGGCCCCAGTGTTGGTGCCACAGGATCCTCTTGGTCAATGTTCTTGAGAATTATTTTTATTTTAGTCACGAGGAAGCTGAGGTATTGCTTGACATATCGCAGGGAATTGCTTAGAGACTGATTTTCCGAAATCCTAGTCTGACATCTTTCTACGTTTGAGATGTGCAAATTAAACAGCAGAGTTTTGACATAAACGTCCTGCAATTTTTCTGTAACGCTGCTTCCAGATATACTGGAGTTGAGAATGTCCTCACTGATGTAGTTAATCCCGGGTCCAATAATTTTTTTCTGTGGGATAAAAATATATGCATTATTGAAAATATTTTTTATTCTTTATTCAAGAAGCAATAAATGCAAACCAGGAGGAATTCTTAAATACATTTTTTTTTTCAATTAAATACTTAAGTCTCAGAGGGACAAAAACATCTGTGGTAAAACAAAGATCAACCAGGACCATAAGAATGAATGCATTATTGTGGTAATTAAGTAATATTAATCTTTTGTTACACTTTTATTGCACACACTATTCAGTGTATCCATTAAATCTACCATCAGTCCACCTATCGTTGCTCTAACACACAGTGGGAACAAATGTCATTTGCACCTATTGAAAATACATGATTGTTTTCCCGAGTCTACTTTAGTGAAACGACCCCGTGTTACAGCAACGATACGTGGACGGACGGTGCAATTCTACGATAAACACTTCAAAATTGTAATTCAGATAAAAACTTATAAAAAATAAAAAATAATTTTAACGAGTAATTTGTTCATTTTGACAACGCTAATATATGCACGCATATACTGTACACACATGACAGTATTGAGTGTGGTGGCACTTACATACGTCTCCAGCAGTTCGTCAGCTCGGTGTCGTAGAAGAGTTGTCAGAAACGTAGTATTTTCCACTTCCGCGCATTCAAAGTGAATTGAAGTCGACGACACACATCTCCATAGGAGGATCAGGGTCACGTGTAGAAGTACTGCGAAAAGGTCACAAGACAGTGAGTATCTAACCTGAGATAGTGCCCATGAAAAACGTTACGTCACTATTAGAGCAGCTAATTTGTTTTAACCCTAGAACAAGGAAACCGAATAAATCGATGCAATCACCGGTATATATTTTAAAACTAATATTTGTAATTTTAGTTGAAAAACAAAACTGAATTGATTTTTTCATTTTCACCATAAAGTGGATTCATTTCATCAAGACGTAAAAATATTATTTTAAAAACGTTTTAAGAACACTTTATAACGTCAACCGTTCTGTCTAAATTCCGTGTAAAATTATTGTTGAGAAAGAATAAAACGTAATAGAGTCTGAAATTAACAGGTAGACGTAGTGTCTTTCATTAAAACCAAATCAAATAATATTGCTTCCAAAATTCACCAATATTCCTTTTTTGTTAGTTTGAATGAAAATAAATGAAAACATTTGTTATGTCAGACATGGTGGCCTGTTGCATTCTAGAATCTAGAGTGATCTAGAATGATTATTTTCTTGTGAAAATCTAATATAACAGCTTGCTCAACTGTACTTAAAAAGGTAACACACATATGCAGTATATATTATAAATAAAAATAATGGTCTACATAATAAATGCTAATGATAGAACTTCGACGTAAATATGCTGTGATATAATGGAAAATGAAGATATTTACCAAGATATTTTAAAACTCCATATGGTTTATGGTCCATGGTGGCTGTAGTAGCACCGTCTCTTTAGAAGGTACAGTTAATCAATAGTCATCAACACTTGCTTTTATATAGTGATATGCAGTCATCTACACCCACTCATTCTAACACACCCACAGAGTGAAAAGAATTTACAAAAATTCCACTTTTTCTCACTCATGTCATGACAAGGTGTTCCTTTAGTTAACCTCAGAGGTGTGACCTAAGTGTCTGATCATCCGGCAAGATATACAGTGAGTATCTAAATGTGAAAGTAATTGACTAAATATCTGTTGGTATATATAAATGAGTATGAATGAAATAAATGACTAAAAAAAGGAAAACAAAGCAGGACATGTATATAAACATGTTAATTAAAAGAAGAAATTACACATATACAACGATATATACATATATACCAGGGATGTCCGATATTAACTTTTTGCAGATATCCGATATTGTCTAAACACTTATTTTCCGATTTCGATAACATCTGGTACCTATATATAAGGCCTGGTAATATTGTACAGATTTATTTATCTGTACAAACCACTGTATGAGATTGTATATAATCGAGTAGTCTTTCCATCATTTTAGTCTTTCCTCGTCAAGAGTTTGCTCTGTCCTTCTTCAGTTGCACGTGTCCTTAAGATGTGCAATATGCCTATTGGACATCCCCGATTCAAGCAAAACAGGATGACTACTTCATAAGAATATTTTCTGCCCACGTCAAAGAGTTGACTAATTTTAAAGTCACAGTTGCTTTACCGTTAACCTCCATGTAATTCCGTTGAACTCTACACACAAGTACTTTCAACGTTATTTATTGAACATCAAAGCACAAAAAATTGCAAATGTGTACAGAATACTTTTTTTTTTCCAAAATGTACAAAATGTAGTTGTACCCAGGTAAAATTATGGCGTGACACTGGCATCAACTGTGCAAATTACTGAGAACACAAGACATAGAGTAGTATTATTGACCTCGGGTTAAAGCTAAGATAAAGAAATGTTGACCTATAAAAAAAAAAGAGAAAGAAAAATCAATACTGACCTGTTTTAATATAATACAACAAATGACAAAAGCAAAAATGGTAATTAAAAAAAAATAAGTTTCAACGTGGACACAAGTTAACGGTTGCCGCGCACGTCCCTCAAAAAAAAAAGAAATTGCTACCATTATTATTACTACAGTTATTAATGGAACACTTAGCTGTCCGTAGCATAGATTCTCGTTGAACGTTCTCTACATCTGACTTTGTGCTCGAGGGTTAGAACATGCATAGGTCTACGTGGTCGGTAGTGATGCTGGATTCTGCTGTGCTTGGGCAGACGTATTGGTTTGTGTTGACGAAGAGCATCCCACCGTGGTGAGGTGCTTCTGGCGATGGTGAGTTCACAGAGGTTAATACTGCTGGTAATGCAGTGCTTATGTTAGAGGCACAGAGTTAAAGCCCCGAGTCCTTCTGCTCTGCCACCCCTGTTCAAGTGGAGATGGAGAGAGAGAGAGAGGGAGAGGAGAGAGAGAAAGAGGAAAAGGGAGTTAGGGAGGGAGGGAAGGAGAGAGAGAGAAAGAGAGAAAGAGAGAGAGAGAGAGTGTGTGTGTGTGCGTGTTAGGGTACGCACTCCTCCATTCCAGGGCTCAGCTTGCGGCTGGTTCTTTTCTCTGATGGTGTAGCATGTCTCTCACACTTACTATGTCCTCTTCAGGGACCTACAAAATAAAAAGTCAAATAATCCTTTATTTTAATTAATGTTAAAAAACGCTACCTGGAGAGAAAAAGGAGGAGGAAGTGTCAAAGTTTTTAAATGACTCCCCCCCCCCCCCCCCCCGTGCACTCAAACACCTGCTGCATCAACAAACTGTGGGAGAGAAAGTGATTGGATAAAAGTCAAGTGTATGAAGGATAGTCACTGTGAAGATGCAGGAAAAAAATGAGTCAAATAATTCTCTGCACCTAATGAGAATAGTTTTGGGCTGTGGGAAGAAAGGGGAGTAACTGGGGAGAACATATTTTTCTGACACGTCATTGATTCCACCACACAGATAATGATTTTAACACTTATGTCAGTTGGTTTTAAAAAAAGCAAACGATATGTTTTCCTCAGATTACACGGGAAGGGGGAAATGCAGATTCACATGAATCTGTTTTATTCATGTGAATCTGTGAGCCTGACAATGTATCATCATGATCTGCTTGATCATCTGTATCATCATCAGCCAGCAGCTTTAGTCTTATCATTCCACGCTGTAACACTAGCCTCTGATGTTGACACTACATTATTCTTTTTACAATTACAATTACAGTTTGATCAAACCGCCTATCCTGGCACTTTGGCCCAGAATGTCTCTGTCTTTGTTGTGGAACCTCAGGGTTCACCTTCTGGGCAAGAACGAATTCCGGTTAGGGCGGTTGGTACCTTCCAGTGGACTCACCACCTGCAGGAAGGTTCAAGGGGGTTGGTACGGTGCAGTGTGATTTGGGTGGCGGTCAGAGAGACTGCTGCCCCCATGACCCGGTAAGGGGTAAGCGGATGAAAATGGATGGATGGCTGGATGGATGGATAAACCCCCTATTCCCAGCCATAACCCCACATGTCATATACTTTTTCTTTCTTTTTGTTATAATTACCCACACAGAATGCACTGGACTAACATGTTGGCCCATGAGTCTCTGTGCTTGCTCCCCTCCTAGACCCCATGGATGCTGTACTGGATCCATGATCTCCTCCATACTCCTGCCTCCACCTTTGCTGCTGTTATCTGTATATTGAAACTCGAACTGTATATAGATATTATTTACAGTTCCAGTTGAAAATCTATCCATCCATCTATCTATCTATCTACAGTATCTATCTATCTATCTATACATCCATCCATCTATCTATCTATCTACAGTATCAATCTATCTATCTACAGTATCAATCTATCTATCTACAGTATCTATCTACAGTATCTATCTACAGTATCTATCTATCTATCTATCTATACATCCATCCATCTATCTATCCATCCATGTATCTATTACATATTTGGGAATGACCTCATCACTAATTCACAGAGCCACGGAGATAAACTCAAAGTGTAACAGGTCTGTGCTGACGACTCTGTTCAAGGCCAATAAAATCAGTATCTATTAAAACCTTTTGCTGTGGTTCATATAACGGGATGGGATATTGACGTCAGATCCTTGTCAATGTCCCCCTGACGACATCTGTACATAGATGACAGTTATTCTCAGAAGTGATCTAACACAAGTTTCACCAACCTCAAGATAAGCTTGAGTTCTAAAGTGGAAGTTCTACAATTAGGTGACTAACAGGTGACCGCAAGTGGAACAACACTGTCAACGTAACTCTGTTTGAGTTCAACCTTCCCTTTCAACTCCCTTTAGGAAGTGGGTCAAAGACTTTAGGTTA